CAGTAGATGGCGCCTTCAGTAGATGGCGCCTTCAGTAGATGGCGCCTTCATATATGCATTCACCAGTAGATGGCGCCTTCAGCTTAAAATGTAATGTTAAGGCTATTCTGCCAGTTATTTATTTCAAGTTGATTCAAAAAATATTTAATAAACAGTCAGATATACAGCATTTTAAAATGCCTATTCAAAGTCATGCCAGTAAAGTTTTTACATTCAATCTTTCTCTATTTTATAGCGTTTACTTATTTCCTGTTAGGGTGCAATTTCTCTCTGCCTCTCTTTGATCGCCGCTTAAAAGCATTCCAGAGAGCCTCTTTTCCCAGATTTATTTTCTTTTAGGGTCAAATCCTAGGCAAAAATTAAAAATCACCTCGCCCAGCTCCAAACACTGTCCACTTACACTGCTCCAGCACAGTCAGTTTCTTTGGTCGCCCCCAGCTTCTCGGCAGCCATAATGGCTGCCTCGTCTTCGTCAAAGAGGGAAAAACCCTGGGTCCAGCAAGAGAGCTGTTCTCCGCGACCTGCAGGGTGTCCCTCCTTTGCATGTCACCCCTGGGGGGCCCTCGGATGAAGAGGATTCGGTGTGGAGATGCAGAACCCCATTCCCCTCTTGGTCTTGCAGCAATGTCAAACTGGAAATCAGGTAGTTCTTGACTTATGACCATTGGTTCAGCAACTGTTAGGAATTACGATTTGTAAATTGTACTTTAAAGCTGCTTCTTATCTCTTAATAGTTATCTGAAATTCTTTATTTTAGGGAGTATATTTAACCAGTTATCTGAGAACAGTTTGATCCAGTTGGACTTGAGGAAGTGGACAAGGTCCTTGGGACTGTTAGGGCAGGTAGTTGTTTCTTAGATACTTGCCTTCCTGGTTAATAAACATCTCCAGGAGGGTGACTTGCAGGTGGATCTGGGCAGTAATTAATACACTCCTGACCTCCCAGAAGACCCTAAAACCTGCTTGCTACATTGCAGGTGATTGACAGGAAGATTCTCATCCTGAGGCTGCCATCATCTTGGTTTTAACTTTTAATATTTTAATTTTAGTTGGATGGATGGATGAATGAACTCTGCTTCCTGATACAGTGAAACCTCAGGTTGCAACCACAGTCCGTTCCAGAAATATGGTTGCAACCCGATTTGGTCGTGACCGGAAGCACGACTGACTGCAAATGTGCAGACACAAAAAAATGGCGCAGAAGGGGAAATTGGCACGGAAAGGAAATCTTTCTGCGCCAATTTTGTTCGCCACCTGATTTTTGAATTATGACCCAATTCAAAAATCAGGTGGATTTTTTGGTTGTCACCCTATTTGGTTGTGAACAAAAGCGTCCGCGATCTGAGGTTCCACTGTATAGGTGTCTGCTTTTTGCACTGAATGATTGTCATGTCTTGGTATACAATCCTTATATTCTTCATTCATCTTCATCTTCATTTCCTCATTTTCCTCACTTGAGGCAGTATAGTAGGATTTGGATAACAGGAAACTTTTGAATCATAGTTTAGAGAAGACTGGAACTGAATTACTATTGTTATTAAAACTTTTAACTGTATAGTACAGATAATGAACAAAAACTGAATAGCTAAAGCCAAAACGTTTTCTCTGTTCCAATAAACAAGGTATGCAGCCCCTCAGCTATATGTAGGTTCTGCATGATCCAAGTTCCAGATCAATGGGCATAAGGGACCAGGTTTAGTAGTTTCACTTTCCTTCCAAGGAAGTAGCAGCAACCTGTTGCATTTTGACTCCTTTTGCTTTTCTGAACAAAGGAAGAATTCGGGATTGAGAGTTGGAGAGTTGATGAAAAAGGTTAATTAGAGTACATGGACCTGAACCAACGTGCCTACCGTCCCTGTCCTATTGTTTCTCCTATTCTTTTATTTTTCTTGTATGTAACCATTTCATGTATTCACAACTATGTATACATTTATACTTATTATCTTGTAAACAATTGGCAAATCAAATAAATAAAATAAATAAATAAATAAATAAACAGTGTAGAAATAATACACTGGTACACATGAATATATGTTTGAATATCTAAATATGTATATTCATATTTTGATATGATATCCAGTGTGGACTTTTAATTTAAGAGAATGCCTGTTTGCAAAGAGTATAAGGTAGCTTTTAGTAAATAAAAATAATGTGTTTTATTTGTGTACAAACTTACACAATATTGCTAGGGAGAAAAAAGTATTGTAGTTACACAGTTGAAACACCAGGAGGCACCTGGCCCTTAAAAATATAGTACTGCAATAGTTGTGCTTTTTTCTTCTAACTAAAGAAATTAAAATTTAATTTTTTGTATTTCAAACTGACATAAATGAAATACTAGGCTTGTAATTTCTAGAAGAAACTTTCTGTTTGTATTTCTTTTATTTCTTTTTATATATTTCTTTATTTCCAGAATTTCTTCTCAACTGGCCTTTGTAAGAATTGGAGTCATTGTAATAAAGATGCACAAAAAGTATTTAAAAACTTTTATGACTTGCAAAACATGGATTTCATATTGCAGGAGTATCAGAAAATAACTTATTCATTCCGGAGAGAAAATATAGTTCTGTGAGAGGAAACAATGAAGGAAAACTTTTTTTTCTCCTGCTGTTTGTGCTACTAAAATTGATAAATTGTAAAATAGAGTGCCTAAAGAATCTGCAGTGAGTTGCAAAAATATATGACAGTGTGTTTAAAGAGCAGAAAATTGATTCTGAAGTTCTAAGCTGGGAAGATTACATTCTTGCAAGATATGAATAAAGGTATTCATTCTTTGAAAGGTACTCTATTCTTTGGGACTAGAGAATGAAACACTATTTTCCCGTCTCATTTTTTTTCTTTGATACCCTTTCAGCCTTTAGAAATCACCAATGAAGAGAATCACAAAAGCCAGGCTGAGCTCCCAAAAGATTCCAGTATTTTCCAGAAGAGGAAAGGAAGCAATATCAGTGGATTGTCCAAAAAATGTCGCTTAGAAACATAATGATTTCCTGCTATAGTATTTCAGTGGCTGTCACTGTTCGTTCTTAGTCTAATTTTCCATCCTTTAAATAGGCTTAATGCAATTGATGTACTGTTTATTCATTATGTAATTGTAGTCTTACTATATCAGTGACATGATGTTCAGTATGGCATATGTCTGGTTTTTTTTAATCTTCTTACATTATTTCTGTAACATACTTTAAATCTTTCCATAAAGAGTATGTTCCACTGCACTTTACGTATATTTAGAATGAAACCAAGAATACATAATAATTTGAATTTGTTATGACTGATGTTATGAATGGATTGTAAACAGTTTCTTTTGATAGTTAAAAGGCTGTGTGGTTTCTTCATCTTCACTTGCTACAGTATGAATAAATATAAAAATGTATACATTTTACTGTTCTTCAGCTGTTTTGTAAGACACACTATTTTTGGCAAGCTGCATATTCATCTGAACGTTTCAAACTTTCAAGGTGAATCCATACATACATATACAGTATTTAATTTATAAGCATATTTTCATTAGTAGGAAAAATAGTTGTAGAATAGTTGATTAGACGGAGAAAGGAATTGTCAGAAAACCATATGAATGCTTGAAATTTACCTCATTAAGATATGGAGATTTTTCCCACCCGACGTAGCTTTCTTTCTAGCAGATCTACAGTATGTTTTATGTCAGTGATGGCTAATCTTTTGGGCTTCCGTGCCAAAAATAGTGTGCACGCTTGCACGCATGCGCTCACATGCCAGCACCCAGAAGGCAATGCACGCGCCCCCACACCTGCGCATGCGTGCACATGTGCCACGCGTTTCTGCGCTTGCACGTGAGACCCCCCACGCGCGTGCGCACCAGATACCCAACAATTGGCGAGCGGGCGGCAGCGCATGCGTAGTGGGGCTCTTCCGGGTAACCTCTCGCATGCCAGCAGAAGAAATTCCTATCATTTCTCATTTTATATCGTTTGGGAATCTAAATGTTTAATTTGCAGCTATATACCAATTTTAAAATCTTCAAGCGCTTAGATATAGATAAGGCACTAGAAGAATTTCATCTCAGAATTCTTTGCAGCTGCTTGATCTTAAGGGATGTTTATTATATGCTTCTTTTTAAAAAAACACTGTAGTTAAGTGAATTATGTGGTCATTACGTGAATCTGGCTTTCCCCATTGACTGCTTGTTGGGAGCCAATAGGAAGATTATAATTGGTGATTACATGGCCCCAGGACAGGATACATGCCATTTGCCAAGCACCTGAATTTTGATCATGTGACCATGGATATGCTGCAATGGTTGTGTAACAACTAGTCGTAAGTCACTTTCAGTGCCATTGTAACTTTGAATGGTAACTAAATGAATGGTTGTAAGTCTAAGACTACCTGTATTTTTGTGTGGTTTTTTTGTTAACTGTTTAAGATGCCCAGAATCATATATATGAGATGGGCAGCTATGTAAATCGAATGAATGAATAGCTTTACAGTTCTGAGAAATTTTCTCCCTTTTCCCTATGATTTTATTTGGAAGTGGGTGGGAAATCTCAGTTTCTGCTAAAGTCCCAGTGGTGTGCATGTGCCTGTATCTTCCTTTGCAGAGAACAAAAACACTTTTTTTAAAGCAAATACTACAATTTTGTCTTTCCCCAATTTCTTAAGTCTGCTTATTAATCCACCTTTTGTCTTGTGCAGTCAGCCCTGTGAGCTAGTCCAAACAAGAACCCAGCCACGAGTATTAACACTACATTTAGTGTAAGAGTACAGTAACAGAATCTTACAAATCTGAAAGCACATCTCTCTCTCTCCCCTCTCCTTTGCCTTTACTGTTCAGAGAACTAGGACAGTGGGATCCTAGGGACTAGGGTCCCTTCTGAAGTCCTTTCCATACCACCATTTCTTCAGTGGATTGAAATGTGTCTTATCTGACTATTGCTTTGGCTGGGCTCTTATGTCTTTCAAAAGTATTCCCACAGACCATTAGACATGTCTTCAGTTTCTTCTGGTTTTTAGAAGTTTCCTTGACAAAGTATGCAATCTCTGGATTTATTATACCCTACTATATTTTAAATATTTTTATACTTCCAATTGTGGATTTGTGATTTTATTATTTCCCACCATATTCTAAGTACTTATTTTGATATTTCCAATTATATTACAGTATGTACATTCATAGTTTTCTGTATTTCATGTTCTTGATTACAGTATTATATAAATGTTTTAACATTTGAACTGTTGAAAAAAATGATGAGCTTACTTAACATTCCAGTTTCTTATAGATTTAATTATCTTGATTAAAAGCAACACCCTTTATGTTTATTTTTTCAGTTATCTGAAATCACAGACTATTAATACTGTACTTTAGCCTTCTTTAAACCCAACTGACATTAAAGGAAGAGTACTCATTCATCTTCTATATACACAAATGGTAAAAGCGGAGATAATTTTGTGGGGGGAGAGGAGAGGGGTTACGTTTTCTGAGGAAATGTGTGATGCCTCAAGTTTAGCTAGATAGTTCATCTAGCTGCTGCCAAGATAAAAGTTCCTTATAAAATATTTGCTATTGTTGTTTGAGATGCATCTTTCTGTATGACAAACATTTTACTTGAGGAATTTTCATTTTTTTCCTTGCCTAGCATACTTCAATATATCTGGCCATTTAGTAGTTCCCAGCATATATCAGTGGTGGCTAACCTTTTTGGGCTCCTGTGCCAAAAATTGTGTGCGCATGCGCTTGCGTGCCAGCACCCAGAAGGCAATGTGTGCACTCCCCATGCCCCCTGCACATGCACGCGCAATCCCCCCGCCACCCCCTTACTGCACTGCACTTCCCAGCTGATTTTCGGCCCATTTGAGGCCTTTTTTGGCCTGCCAGGGGCTTGAGGAAAGCCTCTGCATGCTTTGCAGGACATCACTTCTGGTATTTCCGGAAACACAGAAAGTGATGAAACGGGCCTATTATTCATCCTGCAAAGCCTGCAGAGGTGAAATTTTCCTCAAGCCCCTGGGAGGCCGAAAAGTCTGAAACCGGCCGAAAATCAGCTGTGAAGCGTGCGCATGCGCAGTGAGGTAAGTTTGCCTGCAGCTCGCGTGCCGGCACAGATGACTCTGCATGCCACCCGTAGCATGCGTGCCATAGGTTCATCATCAGGGGCATATACATGTGCACGTACACACAGATGACTAGATCATAAATGCATGGACAATCTTATTTGTTACCATAAATGTCACTATGCCGTCCAGATTTATTTCACTGTCTTCAAATTCTACTTCCTATTTAATAAGATAGCCAAACCCCCAAAAGAGCAGTTCCTAGAATGTAATTTCCTTTTTGGAATAACCCATGATCTGAAACCAGCTAAATAAATTGTATCAGACTGATGAACAGGAGAACAAAGATAAGACTTGCAACATGGGATAATGCAGCCAAAAACAACAGCTTTTTAAAAAGATTACATAAACCATAAGCAGGGAGACATACAGGTAATACTGGAGATTAACCAGTTAATTAATGTTGTAATCAAAGTCCTAAAAATAGTATAAAAATTGTTTTTTTTAATTTTTCTGTGTGGTCTTCAATAAATGTTTTACAAATCAATATACAAAAAATTAGTAGTTTATAGAAGGGTCATAAGAAGGAAGGTAGCTATATATCTTTATAAATATACACATAATATACAAACATGCTGGATATTGCATTTATGGCACAATGTATGTACAGATAAAAGCGTGAATATGACATTTAAAATAATTTCATCTGATACTTTTGTCAGATATAATGTGGAATCTTGCCATGATTTTGAATTTTATCAAAACTAGATTTTTTTTCCCCTGTGAATTATTTGACCTTGACTTAAGCAGAAACTAAGAGGATTATTTTTTTTAAATATTGTCTGGTTTAATCTTATTCGAGAGAAGATGAATAGCAATGTTCTGGCATGGGATACAAAATCAAGCAAATTCGAATGATATCCAAACCCAAAGAACCTGGAATAATTCAGCTACATGTTTCGTATTTTTAATAAGTTTACCTATTTGTCTGGAAGACAGAAGAGGTCAAGATATTGAACAATGAACAAATTACTCAAGAAATTTTTTTTGTGTGTGTGTGTGTGTTTATTCAAGTGTTTTCCCATGAATGCAGGATCTGATTTTTTTTCAGATGAAACAAATGTTAATTCATTGGTTGCTGGCTGAACCTGATGTTATAGTAGAAAATGAAAAAAAAAACACTCTTTGGATACGCTGGACTTGCTTAACCATTTGATTCATTTAACAACCATGTGATTCTCTTAACAACCATGATAATTCACATAAAGTCTTGTAAAAATGATCATAAAATTGAGCCAGGTGCTGTGGAGACCCATCTAATGATTGCAACTTACAACCAAAATTCCAGGCTCAATTGTGGTCATAAGTTGAGCACTACACATACATATATATTAAAATTTTATTTCAACTCCCTAAATATATTTTGCAGTAAATTTCCAAAATAATTAGGATGTGGACTCTGTCTACACAGAAACATATTTGATTAACATATGTGTATATGATTGCAGCTTAAATGTGCTTTACTAAATATCCTTTTCTGTTGTGATGGTTTAATTCAGCTAAACTTCAAGATTTTGAACTGGGTACAGTGTGTTAAGAATGCTTATAAATCATTTGTGTTATTGCCTATATTTGAAGACTAGTGTTTATTAACCAACAGTTAATAATTTTTCTCTAGAAAGGGATTTCACTGTGGGACATTCTTCATATTTGGGATTGTACTATATAATTCCCAGAAAAACACCATTTTATTTTTATCCTTTTATAAAAGTGAAATTCTGAAACCAGGATTCTTCACAAATCATCACAACTGCAGTAACCAGGATTATTATTTTAGTAAGATCAGCTTTAAGGCAATAGAAGGAAAAAGCACCAGGACTATATGTAACATTCCCCACTTTATCTTTCATATTTTCAGTTTTCTCTCCTTATGAAAGCAGACTTACTACTATAGTCTGTCTATATAAAACCTTAGAACTCTAAAATGTTAATAAGAATTCTGTGAAAAAAGAGCAAAAAAGTTCACCTGGGGATATACCATCAACCTGTACCTTTTACATGCCTGAGAAATTTATTGTACCTTCTAACAATGAATTTAGCAACACTGCTACCCCAAATTACTTGTAAATATACCCTCTAGAGGCTTCAATTGAATATAATGGGATCTAGCTCTAGATTATCCTGTTGCTTTCATAATGAATGACTTTTCTTTGGGAAGGCAAGCGATATGACGTTTCTAGTCTTAAATTGAAAAAAAAAAGGAATAAAAAATTAAATTTTGTAAACCAATTTTCATAGCACTATGTTCAAG